GAAAGACAAGAAAAAAGAGGCCAGATAAAAGTCACTAATGAGATTTAGTACCGATTAAAATTGAAAAGTTTAAAGCATCTTTCCTTTCAAAACTGCTAATTTACATATTAAATTTAGGGTCATAGGGTGACACTTGTCGAACTATGTCCTCTCTTTAATTTACCTGATTTTATCGTAACATCGTCTCAAGTCTTTTTTAATACAGTATGACAGTATGGCCTAGGATTTCTATTACATTAATATGCTAATTTAAATGTATGTAAAGAGTACTTGGTGATGGTTTATTCTGTTTTATAAATCTAAGTTTCTTAATTGTATGCAAACTATCCCATTTAGGGACTAACTGCTTTTATACGTCTAATAAGCTTGGGAAAACGTTTTTAAAATTAAACTTAACAATGATGTATGGATACTTCTCCATTGAAAATGTAAGGAAAGATGGGGCTTTTCGTTCAACTTAGCAAAACATTAGAGAAAACAACTTTTTAAACAAATTGATAAGCTTTATAGAGGGGTCGCGAAAACTGAAAACTTTCTATTTTCTGTTATATAAACCAACCGTATTTTAAACATTTTTTCCAACCAGATTTCAAAAGTTTAGTAAGCTATCATTTATTTGTAGATAACATTAGTTTCAGTCTAAAAAAATGTCGTTGAAGACCCTTTTTTCCATGTCTTAAATTCGTAAACCAGTAACATAAATTTACACCTTTCGCCCTCAAGATATACCCACATATCAATGTGCAATAATATTTACAGTCCTCAAAATACGTGTTAAGAGTCTTGTACCATTTTATTTATCATCTTAGTGTCAGTAACCAAGATCCGCAAATGTTTTCATATGAAGAGTTTGATTACCATCAATATTTTAAGAAGAAAAAATGTATCATAAATCAAGTTTAGTTAAATCAAGTTTGGTCTTCAACACGTGAACAAGTGCTGAATATATTTGCACATTTATAATCGAGTACCACTCAGCAAAAGGAGCAATGCCACATTGTTATGGAACGGATTTTGGTGGTTAAATCTGGGACAAAAGATAGTCCCAGATAAAATAAAGGATTTTAAACATCATCACTTTATATAAGGAACTCCATTGGTGCCTTTTCGGAGTCTACCAGGTTTGTATCGAACTCTCGCAGTAGGCTGAATAAAAGTATAATTAGTGTTTATTAGACAAAATATCTTTATAAAAAGATCAGGCCGTGAAAAGCTAGTTTAATAATCTGAGAGGCAAGTCCATCACATAATGATAAGTTGGCACTTTGTTCAATACTGATACAGCTTTCTGGCGGGCTACGAACGTAATGTGTGTTTTAACAATAAATTTAACACAATGCATTATAGATAAAAAGGCCAATCCATCAAACACTTAGTAAATTTAGAGGAAACGACCCCTTCCCGCATTTTAACCTAGTCATTGAAAATACATTATCTGCGAATTAGCACTCCACGCTTGCATTTATCGTGTAATAAATAAAACACCCCAGAATCCGTCATTTTAGCACAAAATATCATTTAGTATTGAGCCAATGTACATGAATATTCAATCTTTGATTTGGCCCATCTTTCATATCATATACATGTAGTACATGTTGTTACAAGAAAATTTGTAGCTTTAATATATGGTCTTGAGAAAAAAAATCTCAATCGCATGATTTAAGTGTGTACTTTTTAGATACTAAATCTAGATGCACAACTAAAATCCGCCATATAACCATGCTGCTATAACGCTATGTGCACATATCACTTTAAAATGAAATAAATATTACCAAAAATACAAAATCAGGACAATTTATTTAGATGATCTTGCTATTTCTTCGACCAAATATATCCAAACAAGAAAGTAATAAATCTATTATCGTGTGATTTTGTTTACTTCTAAAGGTAATAAATCTTTACAGTTCATCTGAGTATTTACATATAACATTTTATACAAAAAAAACAAGAACATTGTAAACTTAGCGCACACAGACAAAAAATTACCTGTAGACAACGGCAGTGAAATGTTTGTTTGTTTCATGGTATGTCTTTGGACGGATATTTTGTTCAGTCTTTCAATAGATTATAATAAAGGGACAATAACTGCTTATAAATATATATTTAAAAAGAATAAAAAATAAAATTAGCAAGCCATGTGTCCGTTCGTCAATTAAAATATGAATTGGATTTGAATTACAAGATTACGAAACTGTTTCAAAGGGGCAATAATGCCGAAAAATCTAAGCAGATTAGAAAAAAACTTCCAATGCCGTATATCTAAGTTACACAAGTACAAAAATGTATAAAAATCCACAGAACTATATTTAATAATAATAATCTGTAATAAAAGTCTCTGAAAAATTGTAACAATTAAAGCGTTGTAAATCCGAAAGGACGCATAAATTACGCCCAAAAACTATGTCTGTCACCGTCTTTCTGGCGGGGATTAACAACACATTGAAGCTATAATGAAATGACAAAATTTGGAGGCTATTATTTGCATGTGAAGGGACATATATACTTATATAAGCTGAACTTCATCTTCGACATCGTACCAATTTATGCATTTCAATTACTAATAATACCAAATGCCAAAGCTACTTACAAATATTAGTAAGATAAAAAATATATAAAAAACACTAAATGCTGATTGTCAAAAACAAAAAATATATGGAAGACTGGTAGTGATATTTAGTATATTACACCCCTTAGTATAATACACCTCTATGTCTGAACCGCATACTAAAACATATATAACCAATAAAAGTATCAAACAGCAAGGGAGACAATTAGGCACATTCATTTTTACGTCCCTTGACTCTGTTTCAATCCAAGGTATGAATACTTTGAACGATCTCCTATCTTTGAACAAAGAACATTAAACCGTCCATTTATTATCCACGTAGGGATTCCCCTGATGTAATTTTTTTAAAGCGGTTTGCAAAAAAACAGAAAAAACTTTTAAACCCTTTTATATTCAGACTTTAAAATAAAAACCCCCTGTTCTTTTCCCGTTTAGATTTTACTAACTATTATATAAAAAACAGAGAGAAAACAAAGGAAAACGAGAGACTCTCCCGGAAAATTTTATAAAAAAATCCGTCGGGCCCTTTTCAAGATTTTTAACTTGGAAAAGACCCTTTCACAAAACAGGGTTAAAACATTTGGGAAAAATTCTCCGCTAGAAAATTTTGGGTTTTTATTTTTTGGGCAAAATTGGGGGCCCGCAAGGGACCCCTCTTTCAAAAAATAATAAGGCAAAGGGTGTCAGATTCAAAAAATGACGGTTACAAAAAAAGTCATTTAAAAAATAAAACCCAGTCAGGTAAAATGATTAAAACAGATTAATAATAAAGTATAATTTATTGTTTCTCAAATAAAACAAGCAATTATCATAGTATTGCAAGCAATCCATAAGTCCCCTACCGGTTAGAACCCAAGCAACATTCTGATGGGCCATTGGCCATTCAATTTTACCAGTGAATGAATGACACGAATGAACTTAAAGCTTTTGAGTTCTAAGTTTGTCTATATCACAGTAATGTGTTAAGTTTCCCTGCCTAGTAAGGAAATTATGTTAATACAACCTTGTCATATTATTACGATGTGGGATTTTAAAGTAAATCATATAAGGAATGAAGAAGTTGGAGTAAAAAATACCAATTTCTCGAAAAAAAATCTAAGTTCAAGGGGGATATAATTTTGGAAATAGTCTTGATAGAGTATTTAACCTTCTCAAAAATGTTGACTGATAATAAGAAACATATATATGATGTTTGAAGTAGATACATTAGGAATATTATATTTAAAGTTTGAAGTAAACACCTTAAGAAATAAAGAACTTATAGTGAAAAAATGAAAAATTTAAATCAGAAATCTTGAAATTCAGGCTATTTGTTGCCATAGCAACCAGAATTTTTAACAGAGGAAGAAAAGAAAAAGATGTGCATAATCTCCAGACTGCCATCTACCCATATTTCAAGTTTCATAAAAATATTTTCAGTACTTTTTGAGATATCACTGGATCCAGTTTATGTGTTAAATTTGCCATATTTTCAGAATATTTGTTGCCATAGCAACCAGAATTTTCAACATAGGAACAAAGAAAAAGACGTGCGTAAACTCAATACTGCCATCTATCCATATATGAAGTTTCATAAAAATATTTTTAGTACTTTTTGCGTTATCGCGGGATCCAGTTTTGTGGACTGACGGACTGATAGACAGACAGACGGACAGACAGACAGACGGACGGAGGGTAAACCTAAAGTCCCCTCCGGTTAAACCGGTAGGGGACTAACAAAACATAAAGAGTGGTGGCAAAGTCGAATGGTGAACATGTCAGACTAGCAATCAAAGGATCGCTAGCTGCGTTGGTTCAAACACGGTCAGGGACAAAATAAACTTTACACACGTTTCTCATTACCGGTTGATTCCAGGAACGGCCTAAAAGCTTTGAAATGTTTTGTCTCGTTTGAAACCTTGGCAACTGAATGCATTATTTTAAACAGCAAATTGACAACAGTTGCTCCATGTTTATTGGGTGCTTCATTGATAGAAACTAGCGAAATATGCCGAACCCTCCTGTCCGAAGCAATCGACCCTTTAAGTCAAACTTTGCATGATCATAGATAAACAGCGAGGTTTGCCGAATGATCCGCAGGTTTCGCTCCCTATTATATAAGAAGTTTGTTTTGTTTGGTTTTATGGCGCACCTACGCAATTTAGGTCATATAGCGCCGAAACAGGAAAGATCATTTTGGCTAACCTCAGGTGTGACACATTTAAAGGAACACCACGTGTCAAAACCACTAACCTGCTAGAGCTAAGAGATGCATAGACTCCAGTCAATTCGAACCCATTAATTCGCCACTTACGATCGCACAGGGACAAACGGTTGCTGCAATTCTGATGCCTCATCCCTTAAAAGGCAATCCCTCAGCGACAAGGAGGTTATACCAGAAGAATTACACATAATAAGAATAGAGCGCGTATACAATATAATTGATGTACTTACATTTAAGAAAGGACTGAGCAATAAAACAATAACATCATTGTAACTTAAGAAATTCCTTTAACAGATTGTCCTCTACCGCGTCCTCAAACTCTTGGAAATTCTGAAAAATGTAACATATTATAAGTTAAATAGCACAATTATCAAATTTTCTTGTAACATTTAGATTCTATGAAACCTTCAATTAAAACTATAAATATTATAATATACATGGGTGCAAGTTGAAAATTTGGAAAAATCTAAAAAAAACTGTGATTCATAATCATTTTCCTACATAATCTAATAGTAAAACATGATGAAATCTGTCACAAAAAACAGAGCTTCAGGCATATGCTTGAAAACTTGCACCCATGAATATATTATATTCGAATGATTTCCTTCATAGAAAACTAATATAGCGATTAAGTGCAATTTGTCAGATTTGAAAGATTCCGTATTTTTTGCTTAATGTTCCATCGTTATCTATTTATTTCATTTTATCTTATTTTACAATGTATGTATTCTAATTCTTGTAAAAAGCAAGGCTTGAAAAACTTTACCCCACAATATGTATCGTCGTTAAATATGGCGGGCGGAAGTAGATCGTCGATGCCCGCCTTTTCTCGCATGTGGTCCCGCCCATCTTGGTTATTACACAAATCTATTTCTTCAAACGCTATTCCTTTTGCTTCAAATACATGTTTTATTCTATTCTGCTTGTTGAAAATCTGGAATAAAATGTTCACCATTAATCTCAGATGTCATTAAATTATTATTTATATGTGCTCATTTGACTAATATTTTATACAGAGCTACGTTTATAGCAATATTGTGTTATTGTGAAAGAGGGTCTTGTAGCTCATATTAACCACTTTCTAATCGGCCTCCTGTTTTTAACCAGTACCGTTCTGGTGCCAAAAAGAAAACTATATGGTCATGTATTAAGTAAGGCTCGAGCCCACACTCCCTGGATTAAAAGAAAAACTTCTTAGCCACTAGGTCAGATCTCTCAAAGACAGTACTAGTAGCTCGTATAAAGTACATGATTGTATTTTTTGTATACGAGAAACGTAATAAGATACATGCATTTGTTAAGCTCAGATACAAAGAAAATAAGAAATTCCTAAAGGTCTCTTTATTTGTGTTTTCCCTGGTATGATATAATTGATGTTGTTTCATTTCTCAAACACGCTTTACTGCGTCATTGTTTTATCATATTAGATATCTTTTACCATGTTCTTGCACAATACTGAAAATATTTATCTATCTTAACAACAACAACATAGGGAGGTTGACTATCAATTCTATCTAACGGAAACGTATTGATCAGCCTTAACTGATCGCCATGAAAACTGGAGGATTTCATATGCAATTTCAGTCCCTAAAAAAGTTATCTCAAGCGTAATTTACCATTCATATTACCCTACAATATACCATGCTTCAACTTTCTCCTCTTTGAAAATAATAATGACAACCTTTAAATCATGCTTGATTTTCATAATTTACACGCATAGGTTCGCATAGGTACAAGAAAATGAAAGCATGTATTCACAAAGCTAAATTTATTTATATACTATTTGAACATTTTGTATTCCCGGACAGAGTTGTCGTACGTGTTTCACTAATAACATGAATACTTCTTTATGTTGTATCATAGTTTGGAGACCTTTCTGTTGAAAATGTGTCAGGGTTAAATCGTATACATATACATCATTACATGCACAGTGCGTTAACTGGAGTGCGGGTATTAGTTACCCGCACTCCAGAGCATCCCCATTGATTGGCTTATTTTTGCTGGGGTTTACATATTGTGACGACAGAGAAAGGGAAAGCGACAGAAATGTCATATTCAGATGTTCGTTCATTGGATCATTTTTGCCGGGGTTTCATATTGTGACAACAGGGAACGTGTTTTTATGTTTGACTATGATACAAACGAGAAAGAACACCAAAACACTCGGCAATCTGATTAATACTCGGGGGCTACGCCCCCTCGTACAAATCAGATAGCCTCGTGTTTCGGTGCTCTTTCTATTACTTATATTATTTCTTATTCATTTGTATCTTTACAGTATCTTGTAAACATGAATATCTTTGGTAGTTATAAAACTACTGATAATCATAATACGGAACCCAACCCCACCCTATCGAGAAAATAAATTAAATAAATAGATCTAAATAAATTACTGTATAAATAAATAAAAATACACATATAGGTAGGTATATGAAGACGCCATATACATGTAACTTATTGCTAACTCGTATCTATTAATGCACATTAAAGAGGTTTAAGCTTCTCGTAAAAGTTTATAGTGAGAAACAAATAATAAATACTAAAGAAAATATCTATGGCAACCGTCGTGTAGAGAGATATGAAACACGTGTAGGAATCTATCACGCGCTGCCTAAAGCGCTTTTTATTACACATCAATTAATATATACACATTTTGCATTACACTACGGAAGCAAAATGGCACTTAAGGGCTTCCGTATTACACGGTAGAAAAAAAACAACAATATTATGCAAACAACAATTATATATACATCTATCTGAGCAAAAAGTATATTCACTTCCGCATTAACATGAATTATTTCAAAATTATGCTTATATCTTAAATGCCGCGATTTTAAGTCCGATTAAGTAAAACTATTTACGACCTGGCATATAATTCGTTATCACTTTTTGCTTGTGCAGTGTAACACAATAAGTTCATTTAATATGGTTTCAATCTTATGCATGCTATATTCAATACAAAACATTACATTAATAGGTACTACATGGAGGATAGGTCTAAAAACAATTACTATATTGTAATTGATAAGTAACGAGTAAGAAGAAAATTAACGACACGTTACACATGCAGACATTTAGCATTTTTTAAGCAATCATTAGAAATACTAACCTCTCTATTTGTTGTCACCGAAGTTGTATACAATTTAATAACCATTTTTGCAACATTTAGTAACTTATAAACTACAAATGATGTTCTTTGTATCAGGAAGTAGCTATCGATTCTGAACACTGAATCACCTCGGGGCCCGCGGCAGGATAGCAGAATTTCCCAAACGTATTCAGCGCTAAAAATTTCCCGGTAATTTCTTATATTCTGTTAAATTAAAAAAAACGGAATGTCTTTTCAGTAAATATTCCAGAGTTGCTGTAAAAGAATTTCCCTGATACTGATGTTACAAGTAACCAATCGTATTCAGGCTTTCCGTTTTCAGGAACTCCCCGTCGAGCGCCTCTTCTGCTACATGATAGCAGACATCTGGTAGCATCAGTCATTTCACGGCGGGGGGTAGGCAGGAGATTCTCTGATAACACAGCAGACGACTGCAAAATCATCTTCTATAAATAACAAAATAATTTATTCTTATTTACTTATTTAGTGAATTATCTGTAAACATATGGAGAGACATTATGTAATATATTTTCTACCGGCTCAGTATATATTGTTGTTAAATAAAACACGTTAATTTTAAATAAATGTTTTGACCGGTTCTTGACTGGAGTTATGTATAAACTTGAAAAAGGCGTGGCATATCCAGGTGAATAAATGAAGGTGTTAATCGACCTATTTTTTTCTCACAATAAATTAAACATAAGATGGACACTGTCTTGCTAGGTGATTGTAACATATCTTCATATTTTATTTTTAGTAATTTAATATTGTGGCAGTGCCAATTTAATACATTAATTTATTTCATTTCATAATTTGGCGGAATTTAAACAGAAATCTACCGACGCAAAAATATAATCAGTCGCATTTATTGATGAATTGCATGACACCTATTAATTTTGGGTTGCCCCGGATTGCTGTTACTTTAGCCGTGCGACACGACCATCAGCAATCCTATTATTATCTTTATATATGGTACTTTTCGGAGAAATATAAATTATATGCATTGGAAACACATAAGTATAACTTTTTCCGGTCGAATGCCTGTCTGTTATCAGTTTGACTTCCTGTAAAACTTACAGGGAAGAACCGGGTATAAAGAGAGCTTTCATTTGGGCACTTTAAAATCACAAAATGAAAACTGGGAATCCCATTGTCTAATCTACAAACAAAATGTAAAGTTCTTGTCATTCTAAGATAGTTATAAACTAAGATGTGAAGGATAGTTCTTGCCATTAATGAAATAAAATATAAAGGGATAGTTCTAAAATAAAATGTATAGGATATAAGAACTAACATATGCAAGTTAACCAGTTTTATTTCGGCCAAGTATCTTCTTTAAAAGATACTTCTTGCTTATTTCCCTGTGTCGCGTTTAGATTTAATGAAAAAAATCTACGTATTTTCCTATTTATTTTATGATTCGGCCTCAGCTAGCAGATGTCTGTTAAAAGTGGTCTTTATATTCATTTATCGTTATTTTGCAACTTCATAGGTCACATGTTGGTCACTTCAGTACACAACATTGAGCAATACGGAAATGAAATAAGTTTGATTAACAAATAAAAATATAGCAGGCAGTTCTTAATTATTAATATGAATTAAGCTATTATATCTGTGCTGAGGTATAGAAGCATGTCAACAGATTCATGCTAATTTTAGTGAACATATTTAAAAAATATTAAACAGTAAAACATTTTCGACTTAACAAAGACAGCAATTTTTACATATTGCAAACGACACTTTAAATCTGCGAAAATTGTCACCAAGAAAAAAAAACTGGCCAGAATAAGCAAAAATACTCATTACAACGTGAGTCACGTGTACGTCGTAGAAAAATGGTGATAAAAACTGCAAAACAGTCATTAATTGCATATAACATGTAATTATGTATTTCTTAAATTGTGAATATTTTTTTACTTTTCTGAAAAATTCTGACATTTATTTTACTCTACTGTAGATTGATTGTCTTGAAATATTTTGACACAGTCGATCATCTAGGGTAATACAGCTTTAAATTTAAGACATACGAGTAATATGATTATGGTAAAGATAACTGCCTTTCTTAAAACTACGTACTAGTATACTTTTATAGTTAGTTAATTTAAATAAAATTAATGTTGTCCTCTTTAATTAAGAAGGAACATTACTGTAAGTATCACACCTTCTCTAAATTGAAAAAAAATTGAAAAAAAAAAGAAACTTTTAAAAAGATACTCGGCCGAAGTCAAACTTGTTAACTTGCATAGGATAAGCTACCACTAACCATGCTAACCGCAAACAGAACATTTTAATTTTTATTCGTCATAACTTTATTTCAGTTCATTTTCAGCCGCATTTTTTCCCCATTAACTGTCATCTTAGATTTAAACAAAATTACTTACATTCTTTGATAATAATCAAAATGAAATTTGATTCGAATAAGCATTTATAATAAACATTTAGTAGATACTGTACGTACTGGCATGCGAGCAGTTCCCGTACAGTAAATGCCGCGGAGAATTTTGCAACTGTAAGTTAATCGAAAGTTCGTTTCAATCGTCTTATGCCCGGTTCGAGAAGAGAATATAATGACTTGAACATTTATCTTTTTTGCATACAGTGAATTAATAGTTAATGTTCCTGTTTTAATTTATAGCTGAAGTATTTCCAGTGGATTTCTGTCCTCTAAAAGATTTTTAAAAAAATTCGTTAAATTTAGTGTCTTTGCACCTATACCTTGAAAACATTTAGTGGTATGAAAAGACAAGGGAGGCTACTCATTTATTGCTTCCGTGATTGCAAAATTCCAATATGGAGTCGCAACAGAAATCAACAACAGAAACGACGCAAAATGCCACCGACATACATCTTGATGATGACAAACCCCCAAAGGACGACCACTTTCAAGGAGCTACTTTAGAAATAAACGGAGACGGAGCACATGTTGATCCTGACGTTGAGTTTGCCGGGCCAGGTTTCGATCGTAACCGTCCTGGTTCCACTATCGGACGGCAATCAGTCCGTAGTACATCCAGTAGGACATCGATGAAACCAGGTGCCTATAAATCACCGAAAATGTCCGAACAATACTTCTGTTATAAGGTAAATTAATTAATTTAAGTGCGACTTTAAAAAAAACGCAATACATCCCCCCCGAAATTGTATTGATATTTGGTCAGATGTCTCTTGTAAAAGTCTTGTTCCTAATATACCAAAATACTATATACAATTATACTATAGGAAGTGGCTAGCCTTAGTCAAGTACATCTAGCCTATACGCACTGTTGAAAATAATCATACAGCATTTTTTTAATAAAAAATAAATGCAATGATGAAAACAGACTTGCGCATTGACAGTCACATTGTAAATTACATTTTCACAAAGAATGATAATATATATTTTTTCTAAATAATTTTAATAGTTTTATGGATGATATTCGGTAAATTTATAAATATGACAAGGTAACGTCTATCGATTCGCTTTTTTATCAGAGACATAAATTTATTATGCCTTATTCTCATCGATTCGTGCCTTCTCATCGATTCGTGACCTAAATAATTGTCTGGTATAAATACTTCTGCAAGGACATACACCATCCGAAAACTACACAAGTTGTATTAGACACTCATTTGACAATTCTATCCAATCAAAATGCGTAATTGAACAGGTGTAAATGACCTTACCCTACAATCAGCTGGTGACCTTATTACTTTAAAATAATCGATATTGATGTTTAAAATTATCAAACACACTTACACTTAAGCCAAAAAAATATTCATTATGCTGTAAGAATTTACTTAAGACTTTGAAACATATATTGATCAGATCGGACTGAAAATAACCATGCGAACATTTAGTGGTGTGAGCACCTATATTTTGATGACGTCACAGGGTGAATCGGATTTCACGAATCGATGGGTAAGAGTCCAGCTGAGCTAGACAGTCATGGTTGTCATGTTCAGATGCTCTAATCTTGGAGTGTTTGTTTTTAGAAGTAATTTAAAGTTTTTGGACTTTTAGATAAAGAATTTATTTAACAAATGCACTAATTAAACTGTATATATGTCTGATATTTGTTATGCAAGTGCAATTTTTCCAAATAAGAGTCACGAATCGACGAGAGAAAAGCATACATGTTGATCAATAGTCATGATTTGTCTTTAATTTAATTATAAATTTTATTTACACAGTTTGTAATATTCTTTAAGTCCGGGTTTTTTGCCTAGTAACATTAAATATTTAATTTGATTAATAAAAATGGAATATTAAAAGAAGAGCATGATTTTTTGCTACATCGCTTGAAAATAATAAAACAAAATCCGACTAGGGTTTGAGATATTTCACACACTGAACAAGTAAAATTATCATTTTAAAGCAAATAATAGTAAAATGACAGCACAAAACAAATGGATGAAAGGATTTAGATTCGGTATAATATATATGCGTATACATGCGCTTCGGGCCATATACCTTCCTCAGTCTGACCAACCAGTCCGTAAACTTGCATATTGCCCTCAAGCCCATGTTTTATTTGTTAAATATTGCCATTTTGCTGAAGCGTATTGCAATATATTGCAATACGTATTGTCGTGTATATGTTTTGATGTAAAGATGAAGTAACATTAAATATCATTATTACACGTAATTATTCTTAGTAGAAACTTAATAATTATGTAAAAGTAAGGACTAAAAACTAAGTAAAGTGTCACACAATTTGATAAAAAAACTAGTTGCGCGTGACCTTTCACATCTGGGTCGCTTATGTAAAATACGCGGCTGCTTATCGACTTTTAAGTGGACTAGTTTTCGGATATTTTTATCTTATGTTGGCACCAATAAAATTCACCAATTAAAGATTTTATGCAAAATTTGTACGAAATCAGAAGGCAATAAATAATTAAAAATTATGATTTTTATAAAATTCCGGTTTTCCAAAAATTGTACCACAGTACGAAATTTATTTTTTCATATTGCAATTATATATTGGTATACCGATAAACCGTTACACCCTTAATAAATATGACATCGCTTTGAGATATTTTTGCTTCTGGGCATAGCAACTCCATATTGAAATTGCTCAAAAACCCATAGCACGTTCCGCAAGAAAATCTAGCGGAATGAAAAACAATTTTAATATTGACCTATTTATGAACAAAAGATAAAATTAAATACCTTTTAACAAAGTACTTAAACTGTCACATCCGAAAAATAATGATTAAATCCTCTTATTTAATTAAATTCCTTATACAGCCGATAAACAAATGGCCGACTCACAGTGTGCACAATTTGATTGGCTAATTCAAATGACAGCGTTTAAATGAGTCAAAAATTGCAAACGAAATATTTTTGAATGAAATATTTGCCTATGCACCGCCAGTGAGTAAGAATATATTTTTCAGTTAAAAAATTTGGAACCAATCTGTTAAGCTCTTTCCTTAACTAGCATGGCCAATGGCAAAAACAGATTGATGTTTGTTTGATAATGAACTTATTTGAGAGTTTTTGTTAATGATTGAGCTTGATATTGAAAGAAATTTTTGAGAAGCTTTTGAATAAAAGCTTGAAAGGCAAGACCACAGATAAATAAACAACGGATAGGAAACTCCAAAAAAGATGAGAGTCCGATTCAGACCCACAATCGTTTGCACGCTTCGGTGATAATAGGGCTTTCCCGCTAGTCTCCGATTTTCACACTATCGTTAAACTTCGGCGATATCAGTGAATTATTGCTTACATTGCCAACATGGATTTTCATCAGAGAAATTTTTGTGTGGAAAAGTGTGTTTTGTATGTTTTAGAATAAATAGCTATTGCTTCTTATATAAGTAAAAAATGTTTAGTCTTTTTTTTGTTGATGTACCTCCGGGAATTCAATATGGCGGTATTTTGGCTACTTTCACCCAGGATGCATCAAAGTCTCGCGACATATGATAACTTGCGGGAACACAACTCCGCCGATACTGATTTTAAATGTGTGACGTCACAGTCTCTTCTCCATCTTATATTTAGCTCCATGGCAAGACAATAGACATTTTTTGAATATTTTATTATGCTATGTGTTTATTAGCCATCAGGCTTGACTGTCATAAACTAAAACAAGCCTGTAACGTCTGATATTTTACTAAGATCTATCAGAAATAAACACATTAAATTAAGTAGTTTTCGTACGCTGATGTAAATTTTGTGTTATTTACAAATTATTATCATTAAAACTAGTTTGTTATAATCTAACTACTGCTTAGCAAAAGACCTTTAACAATATCCTATTGAAATTTGTCTTTTTACAAAATAAAATATGTAATTACTAACAACATGAGTATTGTCACTTTTTTTATACAAACATTTCCTGAAATCCCACACCCCCGTTTCCTACAGGTGCTCGGGGTACTGTTCTCCCAAAACAGAGTGTCCTGATAGTGTTGAGTAATAAATTCAGTTAAAACACAAGTTAAATGTATTCATAATTGTCACAGTGAGTTTTTTTTTCAATTTTCAATAGAACCTGTGGCTTCGTGAAGGGGAAAATAGTGTGATAAATCAGAAAAGTACTAAGAATGGATTTCACCCACACATTGAATAAAAATTTCAATTTCAATTTAATTTAACATGCATGGTACAGTGGTTGTCTTCTATAGGGATAGCTTTCTAACTTCTAGCTGATACAAGTCAGCTGCTGTTGAGCCATGGTTCTGGTGAAGAGTGTGCACAATGCATTTAAGGGAAAATATTTGCATTTTTAGGGGAAAATATACCTATTTTAGGCTAGGGGAAACAGCCTTTAATCTGCAGTAAAATACAGGGGAAAAAATCACTGATTGAAATAACGTAACAAGTAAGAGCACATAACATGGTCTGCAGTTTTGAAGTGACCCAAATTCTACTGATGTAACAAAACACATTAGTAAGAGGAATAGTTTAGTTTAGATTAAAAGATTAACAAGTCCATTTAAGATGCTTGTATTAGGCATAGTTAGGGTAAATCATGAAATTAAAGGAAATATATAAGAACAAAAAAAAATATTGATTTAAAATCTAATTGGCTAAAAAAACTTGTGGTGAAAACTAATTGACCCAAACATTTATCTAGAGCTCTGAAATTTCATTCAGTTATTTGAAAATTTGTGTGCCATATGTTACAACTTGGTTTTATAAAAATTTCAGGAAAATGCACTAGACAAGGCTGTACAAGTGTGCAAGGAGTTCGAGTATAAAACAGACTTGGACGGCAATGTTGTTGGTCATTGGTTGTTAAGCGAGTATGTTATATTTTGTTACTTTATTTTTAGCTCACCTGTCACAAAGTGACAGGGTGAGCTTTTGTGATCGCTTTTCGTCCGGCGTCCGTCCGTCGTCCGTCCGGCTGTCCGTCCGTCCGTAAACTTTTACTTTAAATGACATCTCCTCATAAACCACTAAGCCAATTTCATCCAAACTTCACAGGAATGTTCCTTTGGTGGTCACCTTTAAAAATTGTTCAAAGAATTTAATTCCATGCAGAACTCTGGTTGCCATGGCAACCGAAAGAAAAAACTTTAAATATCTTCTTTTAAAAAACCATAAGAGCTAGAGCTTAGATATTTGGCATGAAACATCTTCTAGTGAGTGTCTACCAAGTTTGTTCAAATAAAAGCCCTGGGGTCAAAATTGCCCCCGCCCCGGGGGGTCATTGATTTTCCCTATATACATATAGTAAAAACTTAAAAAATCTTCTTTTAAAGAACCAAAAGAGCTAGAGCTAAGATATTTAGCATGAAACATGTTCTAATATGTGTCTACCAAGTTTGTTTAAATAAAAGCCCTGGGGTCAAAATTGGCCCCGCCCAAGGGGGGTCATTGATTTTCCCTATATGCATATAGTAAAAACTTAAAAAATCTTCTTTTAAAGAACCAAAAGAGTTAAAGCTAAGATATTTAGCTTGAAACATGTTCTAATAAGTGTCTACCAAGTTTGTTCAAATAAAAGCCCTTGGGTCAAAATTGGCCCCGCCCCGGGGGGGTCATTGATTTTCCCTTTATACATATAGTAAAAACTTAAAAAATCTTCTTTTAAAAAACCATAAGAGCTAGAGCTTAGATATTTGGCATGAAACATCTTCTAGTGAGTGTCTACCAAGTTTGTTCAAATAAAAGCCCTTGGGTCAAAATTGGCCCCGCCCCGGGGGGTCATTGATTTTCCCTATATACATATAGTAAAAACTTAAAAAATCTTCTTTTAAAGAACCAAAAGAGCTAGAGCTAAGATATTTAGCATGAAACATGTTCTAATGGGTGTCTACCAAGTTTGTTCAAATAAAAGCCCTGGGGTCAAAATTGGCCCCGCCCCGGGGGGTCATTGATTTTCCCTATATGCATATAGTAAAAACTTAAAAAATCTACTTTTAAAGAACTCAAAGAGCTATGGCTAAGATATTTAGCATCAAACATGTTCTAATAGGTGTCTACCAAGTTTGTTTAAATAAAAGCCCTGGGGTCAAAATTGGCCCCGCCCCAGGGGGTCATTGATTTTCCCTATATGCATATAGTAAAAACTTAAAAAATCTTCTTTTAAAGAACCAAAAGAGTTAAAGCTAAGATATTTAGCATGAAACATCTTCTAGTGAGTGTCTACCAAGTTTGTTCAAATAAAAGCCCTGGGGTCAAAATTGGCCCCGCCCCAGGGGGGTCATTGATTTTCCCTATATACATATAGTAAAAACTTAAAAAATCTTCTTTTAAAGAACCAAAAGAGCTAGAGCTAAGATATTTAGCATGAAACATGTTCTAATGGGTGTCTACCAAGTTTGTTCAAATAAAAGCCCTGGGGTCAAAATTAGCCCCGCCCCGGGGGGTCATTGATTTTCCCTATATGCATATAGTAAAAACTTAAAAAATCTTCTTTTAAAGAACTCAAAGAGCTATGGCTAAGATATTGAGCATCAAACATGTTCTAATAGGTGTCTACCAAGTTTGTTCAAATAAAAGCACTGGGGTCAAAATTGGCCCCACCCCAGGGGGTCATTGATTTTCCCTATATGCATATAGTAAAAACTTAAAAAAATCTTCTTTTAAAGAACCAAAAGAGCTAGAGCTAAGATATTTAGCATGAAACATTTTCTAATGGGTGTCTACCAAGTTTGTTCAAATAAAAGCCCTGGGGTCAAAATTGGCCCCGCCCCGGGGGTCATTGATTTTCCCTATATGCATATAGTAAAAACTTAAAAAATCTACTTTTAAAGAACTCAAAGAGCTATGGCTAAGATAAATAGCATAAAGCATGTTCTAATAGGTGTCTACCAAGTTTGTTTAAATAAAAGCCCTGGGGTCAAAATTGGCCCCGCCCCAGGGGGTCATTGATTTTCCCTATATGCATATAGTAAAAACTTAAAAAATCTTCTTTTAAAGAACCAAAAGAGTTAAAGCTAAGATATTTAGCATGAAACATGTTTTAATAAGTGTCTACCATATTGTTCAAATAAAAGCCCTTGGGTCAAAATTGGCCCCGCCCCGGGGGTCATTGATTTTCCCAATATACATATAGTAAAAACTTAAAAAATCTTCTTTTAAAAAACCATAAGAGCTAGAGCTTAGATATTTGGCATGAAACATCTTCTAGTGAGTGTCTACCAAGTTTGTTCAAATAAAAGCCCTGGGGTCAAAATTGGCCCCGCCCCAGGGGGGTCATTGATTTTCCCTATATACATATTAAAAACTTAAAAAATCTTCTTTTAAAGAACCAAAAGAGCTAGAGCTAAGATATTTAGCATGAAACATATTCTAATGGGTGTCTACCAAGTTTCTTCAAATGAAAGCCCTGGGGTCAAAATTGGCCCTGCCCCAGGGGGTCATTGATTTTCCCAATATGCATATAGTAAAAACTTAAAAATCTTCTTTTAAAGAACCAAAAGAGCTAGAGCTAAGATTTTTAGCATGAAACATGTTCTAATAAGTGTCTACCAAGTTTGTTCAAATAAAAGCCCTGTGGTCAAAATTGGCCCCGCCCCTGGGGTCATTGATTTTTCCTATATGCATATAGTAAAAACTTAAGAAATCTTCTTTTAAAGAACCAAAAGAGCTACAGCTAAGATATTTAGCATGAAACATGTTCTAATGGGTGTCTACCAAGTTTGTTCAAATAAAAGCCCTGGGGTCAAAATTAGCCCCGCCCCGGGGGGTCATTGATTTTCCCTATATGCATATAGTAAAAACTTAAAAAATCTTCTTTTAAAGAACTCAAAGAGCTATGGCTAAGATATTGAGCATCAAACATGTTCTAATAGGTGTCTACCAAGTTTGTTCAAATAAAAGCCCTGGGGTCAAAATTGGCCCCACCCCAGGGGGTCATTGATTTTCCCTATATGCATATAGTAAAAACTTAAAAAATCTTCTTTTAAAAAACCATAAGAGCTAGAGCTTAGATATTTGGCATGAAACATCTTCTAGTGAGTGTCTACCAAGTTTGTTCAAATAAAAGCCCTTGGGTCAAAATTGGCCCCGCCCCGGGGGATCATTGATTTTCCCTATATGCATATATTAAAAACTTAAAAAATCTTCTTTTAAAGAACTCAAAGAGCTATGGCTAAGATATTTAGCATCAAACATGTTCTAATAGGTGTCTACCAAGTTTGTTCAAATAAAAGCCCTGGGGTCAAAATTGGCACCGCCCTGGGGGTCATTGATTTTCCTTATATGTGTATAGCAAAAACTTAAAAAATCTTCTTTGAAAAAACCCAAATAGCTAGAGTTAAGATATTAAGCATGAAACATCTTTAATGAAGTCACAGTCTACAAAGTTTGTTCAAATAAAAGACCTGGGGTCAAAATTGGCCCCGCCCCAGGGGTCATTGATTTTCTTTATATGTGTATAGCAAAAGCTTAAAAATCTTCTTTGAAAAAACCCAAATAGCTAGAGTTTAGATATTAAGCATGAAACATCTTTTAGTAAGTGTCTACAAAGTTTGTTCAAATAAAAGCCCTGGGGTCAAAACTTGCCCGGCCCCAGGGGTGTCATTGTTTTTAACTACATGTGTTTAGTAAAAACTTTAAAAAAATCTTCTTTCAAAAAGCACAATGAGCTAGAGCTTAGATGTTTAGCATGAAACATCTTCTTATGGGTGTCTACCGAGTTTGTGCAAATAAAAGCCCTTGGGTTAAATTGGCCCTGCAACGTTGGGGGGCCTATATACAGGTGAGCGACCTCAGGGCCATCATGGCCCTCTTGTTACTTTAATAATTTTGTTTGTTTTAAGTTGAATGCCAGCTCATATTGGCATTTTATTAAGCTACATGTTGGAATTCCTTTTGGACAAGGAGAGCAGTGGTTTCTGAATTCAATTCAATTGTTATAATGTAAAAAAAACATTGAAAAGAGAGGTAACTCTTCAATACATATAGGAAGTATTTGCAATATTGGTTGGGGAGTTGTCTCCCCTTTCATTATGTTTCAGTCTCTTATAATTCTTATCAGAATGACCAAACAGGCAGTTTTTAGCTCACCTGTCACAAACAGGTTGAGCTTTTGTGATCGCTTTTCGTCCGGCGTCCAGCCGTCGTCCGTCCGTAAACTTTTACTTTAAATGACATCTCCTCATAAACCACTAAGCCAATTTCATCCAAACTTCACAGGAATGCTCCTTTGGTGGTCACCTTTAAAAATTGTTCAAAGAATTTAATTCCATGCAGAACTCTGGTTGCCATGGCAACCAAAAGAAAAAACTTTTAATATCTTCTTTTAAAAAACCCAAAGAGCTAGAGCTTATATATTTGGCATGAAACATCTTCTAGTGAGTGTTTACCAAGTCTGTTCAAATAAAAGCCCTGGGGTCAAAATTTGCCCCGCCCCAGGGGGTCATTGATTTTCCCTATACGCATATTGTAAAAACTATCTTCTTTTAAAGAACCCAAAGAGCTAGAGCTAAGATATTTAGCATGAAACATCTTCTAATAAGTGTCTACCAAGTTTGTTCAAATCAAAGCCCTGGGGTCAAAATTGGCCCTGCCCCGGGGGTCATTGATTTTCCTTATATGTGTAAAGCAAAAACTTAAAAAATCTTCTTTGAAAGAACCCAAAGAGTTAGAGCTAAGATATTAAGCATGAAACATCTTCTAGTGAGTGTCTACAAAGTTTGTTCAAATAAAAGCCCTGGGGTCAAAATTGGCCCCGCCCGGGGGGTCATTGATTTTCCTTATATGTGTTAAGCAAAATCTTAAAAATATTCTTTAAAAAAACCCAAATAGCTAGAGTTTAGATATTAACCTTTTCCCTTATATAAGCGTGTTTCGACGGCTTTTTGACCCCACCCCCCTTTTTCAGGCCTCAAACAGTGAAAAAATGTCCTATTTAGACCCCAAACACTGATTTTCGTTTGAGAAATGTTGTAAAAAAAAGTGACCATTTTTTCGGCGCCGTCCCCCATCCAAATAATACATCAGGGGGTTGCCAGAAGGGGGATGTGCCCCCTTCTGTTTGGGGGGTTTGAAGGGGGGTGGAGTCCCCCTCATCGCCAAGAAATTTTTGGACTTGTGAGAGGCTTAAAATGACCCCAGGTTGATGATAAGGTAACATGTAACCAACGCTGAAAAGCCTTTGACTCTATCTCAATCCCTTGAGAAGTTGCAGCACTTTGAAGTAAATTTTGATGGAAAAAATCGAGGCAAAAAAGTGATTTTTGGCAATTTTGAAATGTCCCCTCGTTGCCATGGTAACAGGAAATTTAAGACTGAGCATGTCGTTACAAAGGCAATGGTCCAGTCAACATTTGTGCCAAGTTTGATTAGTAATGAAGTATTTTTCATAGTTTCATAGCAGTTTGAACTTGTTAGAGGAGGCTTTTCAGTGAAAATGGCCATTTCTCACAATATGCTCATGGGGGAAAGGGTTAACTAAAAAAATTATAAATGTTACAAAACAACAATTTTTCACCAAAATTAGGTAAAAGACCACATGTTAACATGGAAAAACTAGATTTTGGGTGATTCCAAGGTTTTTCAGCATTTTTAGCTCACCTGTCACAAAGTGACAGGGTGAGCTTTTGTGATCGCTTTTCGTCCGGCGTCCGTCCGTCCGTCGTCCGTCCGTCGTCCGTCCGTCCGTAAACTTTTCCTTTAAATGACATCTCCTCATAAACCACTAAGCCAATTTCATCCAAACTTCACAGGAATGTTCCTTTGGTGGTCACCTTTAAAAATTGTTCAAAGAATTTAATTCCATGCAGAACTCTGGTTGCAATGGCAACCAAAAGAAAAAACTTTAAATATCTTCTTTTAAAAAACCATAAGAGCTAGAGCTTAGATATTTGGCATGAAACATCTTCTAGTGAGTGTCTACCAAGTTTGTTCAAATAAAAGCCCTGGGGTCAAAATTGGCCCCGCCCCAGGGGGTCATTGATTTTCCCTATATGCATATAGTAAAAACTTAAAAAATCTTCTTTTAAAGAACCCAAAGAGCTAGAGGTAAGATATTGGGCATGAAACATCTTCTAGTGAGTGTCTACCAAGTTTGTTCAAATAAAAGCCCTGTGGTCAAAATTGGCCCCGCCCCGGGGGTCATTGATTTTCCCTATATGCATATAGTAAAAACTTAAAAAATCTTCTTTTAAAGAACCGTAAGAGCTAGAGCTTAGATATTTGGCATGAAACATCTTCTAGTGAATGTCTACCAAGTTTGTTCAAATAAAAGCCCTTGGGTCAAAATTGACCCCGCCCCAGGGGGTCATAGATTTTCCCTATATGCATATAGTAAAAACTTAAAAAATCTTCTTTTAAAGAACCCAAAGAGCTAGAGCTAAGATATTTAGCATGAAACATCTCCTAATGAGTGTCTACCAAGTTTGTTCAAATAAAAGCCCTGGGGTCAAAATTGGCCCCGCCCCAGGGGGGTCATTGATTTTCCCTATATGCATATAGTAAAAACTTAAAAAATCTTCTTTTAAAGAACTCAAAGAGCTAGAGCTAAGATATTTAGCATGAAACATGTTCTAATGGGTGTCTACCAAGTATGTTCAAATAAAAGCCCTGGGGTCAAAACTGGCCCGGGGGGGTCATTGATTTTCCTTATATGTGTATAGCAAAAACTTAAAAATCTTCTTTGGAAAAACCCAAATAGCTAGAGTTTAGATATTAAGCATGAAACATCTTTAAGTAAATATCTACAAAGTTTGTTAAAATAAACGCCCGGGGGTCAAAACTGGCCCTGCCCCAGGGGTGTCATTGTTTTTAACTATATGTGTATAGTAAAAACTTTAAAAATCTTCTTTTAAAAAAGCCAATGAGCTAGAACTTAGATGTTTAGCATGAAACATCTTCTTATGGGTGTCTACCAAGTCTGTTCAAATAAAACAAATAAAAGCCCTTGGGGAAAAATTGGCCCGGGGGTGGGGGGGGGCGCCTATATACAGGTGAGCGACCTCAGGGCCATCATGGCCCTCTTGTTTGTTAACCTTTTCCCTTAAATAAGCGTGTTTCGACGGCTTTTTGACCCCCCCCCCCTTTTTGAGGCCTCAAACAGTGAAAAAAATGTCCTATTTAGACCCCAAACTCTGATTTTTGTTTGAGAAATGTTGTAAAAAAAAGTGACCATTTTTTCGGCGCCGTCCCCCATCCAAATAATACATCAGGGGGTTGCCAGAAGGGGGATGTGCCCCCTTCTGTTTGGGGGGTTTGAAGGGGGGCGGAGTCCCCTTCATCGCCAAGAAATTTTTGGACTTGTGAGAGGCTTAAAATGACCCCAGGTTGATGATAAGGTAACATGTAACCAACGCTGAAAAGCCTTTGACTCTATCTCAATCCCTTGAGAAGTTGCAGCACTTTGAAGTAAATTTTGATGGAAAAAATCGAGGCAAAAAAGTGATTTTTGGCAATTTTGAAATGTCCCCTCGTTGCCATGGTAACAGGAAATTTAAGACTGAGCATGTCGTTACAAAGGCAATGGTCCAGTCAACATTTGTGCCAAGTTTGATTAGTATTGAAGTATTTTTCATAGTTTCATAGCAGTTTGAACTTGTTAGAGGAGGCTTTTCAGTGAAAATGGCCATTTTTCACAATATGCTCATGGGGGAAAGGGTTAAGCATGCAACATCTTCTAGTAAGTGTCTACAAAGTTTGTTCAAATAAAAGCCCTGGGGTCAAAACTGGCCCCGCCCAAGGGGTGTCATTCTTTTTAACTATATGTGTATAGTAAAAACTTAAAAAATCTTCCTTTAAAACCCAAATGAGCTAGAGCTTAGATGTTTAGCATGAAACATCTTCTTATGGGTGTCTACCAAGTTTATTCAAATGGGGGCAGGAGGGAAGGTCATTATTTTTCATTATATGTGTGTAGTAAAAACTTAACATCATGAAACATCTTCTAATGGGTGTCTTCCAACTTTGTTCAAATAAAATCCCTGGGGTTTAAACTGGCCCTGCTCCAGGGGCCTATATACAGGTGAGCGACCTCAGGGCCATGATGGTCCTCTTGTATGATTTTATGTTTGAAATGTTGCATATGTTTTGTATGGATGAGACTTTAATAAAGATTATATATATATAATCAATAAATAAATGATATATTCCAGGTGAAAAAAAAATGATAAAGAAAGTGGTAGACTCCAAATGTCAACTTGGTATTGGCTGCATTTTAATTGTTAAGCGCAAATGGGTGAAAAGTCTGCCGAACTTTTATCTATTATTGTGCTAAAAGCTAAAATTTTGGCTAATAATTTATTTTTAAGCCAGTGTGAGCCCTGCAAATATACCGTATTTAAATTTCCTGGAATCATTGATAAAGAATGAATAACATCCTCAGTCAAATAGTAAATAGGAGATACACTAGACAGCCAGTGAGTCAAAGAAAGCATATGTGGCAAGTTGGTAGACCAAAATGCTGTCCTCAGCTTACAGTGCTTTTTTTCTTTTCTATAGCAATGGCTGTAGAAAATTCTGAAAATCGTCTGATATTTGGACAATGGTTATTTGGACAATGGTTATTTTCCCAAAATTTAAATAGACTGTCAGACGTCAAACCATAGAATATGGCAAGGTAGTAAACCTAATGCTCTTCTCAGCTTAAAGGCCTTCTTATGCCACTGGCATATTGTACATTGTAATTGAACTGTCTGTCTGAACAAACGAACATTTGGGATACTTGGGTGGCTACCCTATTGTTCTCCCAATTTATTTTAGTCACATATATAGCCCTTTTTTTTTTTTTATCAAGGTCTCGTATTTGGAAGATATTTACGGTTTTACCTCAGGTGGTCCTTTAAGTTTAGGTGGAGTTTGAGTAACTGGGTCAGTGTCAAGGTTTATTGGTTGAATATTTTTCAACGTCATCAAAGAGCAATGACATGCTAACTTAAATTTTTCACAAAAGGTCATGACTGTCTATTTTCAGTTGTAAAAAATAATATCTTCTTTGTTTTGATTATTTTTAAACGTATGAGCCGCGTCACGACAAAACCAACATAATGCATTTGGGACCAGCATGGATCCAGACCAGCCTGTGCATCCGCGCAGTCTGATCAGGATCCATGCTGCTTGCTATCAGTTTCTCTACTTGTTATAGAGTTTGTAGCGAACAGCATGGATCCTGATCAGACTGCGCGGATGCGCAGGCTGGTCTGGATCCATGCTGGTCGCAAACCCATTATGTTGGTTTTGTCGTGACGCGGCTCATATAAAATTTTTTTTTCAGGATTGACCACTGGGATAATGAGAGGGAGAAGATTGTGGTTTTGACAGAAAACTCCGTCCTTCTCTACCGCTTTAACTTCATTAATAACAAGGTGATTGATTTCCGTCGAGTCAGCCTTCATATTATAAATAGCATACACATTGGAGACTTCACATACCCGCAGTATTCAGTGATGCCGTGAGTAGACTTTTAATCTCTACTTTTTTCTTTTTAAAGTGTGACAATAACTATAATCACTTTGATTGTATTGGAAGCTATGAGCTTATTGAAACAACTTCAAATTCGTTCCTGGAACCAACCAGTACTGAGTAATGAGTGTAAAGTTTCTTGCCCATGGAAACAAAGCTTGCCCCTGGCAGGGTTTGAACCCATGTGATTGGCAATCCTGAGATTACTAGTCCGACATGTTAACCATAATTTAACATTTATACTTATAGGAAAAACATTGTATTAGAAAACCAGAGGTCACTGGTTCAAGCCTTAGAAATTTCTTCAATTGATCGTAGACATTGAGCCCTATGGTCATATGTTACACGACCCTGATTCAGAAACCATTTGAGATTACTACTAGTTGTTCACTTGTTGAGAAATTGGTAATTACTGGTTTGTTATCCAGGAAAGCCATTTAAGCAGATTGTCACCCAAGATATGATGAAAAATATATAAAAATCTTTATAAAAACCTGAAAATTAAATTAGTGGTAAAATTACATATATAAAAGCCTTTCCAGTTGGTTTGGAGTTAATTAAATTACATGTTTATAAGAAAGTTAGGGTGTTTCTCAATTAAGATTATGGTAGAAGTTGTTCTACTGACATCATTACAGACACAAGCAAATATCTGATAGATATGTAATTTTCCTCAAGTAAAAGGAAATTGCATCCCTGGTTGTGTTTTAACCCATATTTATAAGCTACAAGTTAAATTAAAAAGAAAAATCAGTAATTTTCATAATTTCCAAGCAAATATACAGTTTTAAATTTGATTCATATTGTTAGATCCTGTTTCTATTTGTATCCAATTATAGTTGAAAGACATATTAACAAAAAAACAAACAAACAAAAACTGACAATTGAATTTAAGATAAAAGTTAAAAGTATTTTTGTGATTTAGAATTTTAACATTGTAATGATATCTTTTCAGTGTTGTATCAAGTGACAGGCAACATGGAGGTATACAGTTCCACTTCAATAATGGCGAGGAGCCGTCGTTCGGACAGCGCTGGAACCCATGGTGTTCAACGATCCCATGGGTAACATTGGCGCACCATCCACTGATCTACAACCCAAACGAGAACGAGACAGCGACATTTAACGTCGATGATTTCTATGAATCGCTAGTTCAAGGAGTGAGTAAGGCGTATAACCGTAAACGCCCCGGGGAGAAGGTTACGGTCCTTGAAGGTCCTATTCTCATACAGAGCTACGCAAGTTTGTCATCGTTGGTTTTCAACCAATCAGGAATCGGCTATTACAAAGATAGAAATGGCTTATGCTTCTGAAACTTCTGTTTTGATTATAACATAGATCTAACGTCTTGTGTTGTCCTATTTAATATATACAGTATATATAGTATATACAAATAATTCTTTTTTGGTCCAGAAAAGCGGATTATGCAAGACTTTTGTAATGTGCTTACTTGCGGGATTTTATGTACTTACTTTTTTCACATTGTTCACTCTTAATTATTATGAATTTGTTACAAAAACAATCTTAGAAAAAAAAAACGTTGCAATGATACTTAATATGTACTCATAAATCATGTATTTGGGAAACTATCCTGTTATTTAGATCTTTGACCAAAGAAATGTTATGAGGAAAAAGTCACCAGTTAGCTTGAAACTTTTAAAACAAAAAAATTGATATGATGTATACTGTTAAGCTCAATGTTTCTTTGTTTTTCATTTTTCTCATCAATATGTTTTTGTCTTGAATGTATTTGTGTGTGAAATAATCTTCAAGTGAGATTTTACTGCATTCCAATATCCTTGTATGAAAGTATTACATGTATAAGTTAAAATATTCTTACTGTTTTAAAGTAATTGTTGTATGAATTTTGTTATTTGTATTTGAAAAAGAATATGATTTTTGTGTGTAAATCATGTACAAATTTATGTGTAAGAATAATTCACTATGGGATGTACTAGGACAGCTTTGGATATTTTTAGACACACTGGGATATCTTTGATGTACTTGGGGTATTTTTGGATGCACTGGAATGATTTTAATGTCTATGAATATTTTTGGATGTATAGGAATATCTTAAGATGTACTTGGACACCTTTGGATGTACTTGGATGTGTTTTGATGTTTTGAGATATCTTTTGTGGATGTACTTGGACATCTTTAGATATACTTGGACATCTTTAGAAATACTTTAAAATCTTTGGCTTTGGATATACTTTAAAATCTTTGGATATACTTGAAAATCTTTGGATATACTTAAAAATCTTTGGATTTACTTGAGAATCTTTGGATATACTTGAAAATCTTTGCATATCATCTACCCGTAATGGTGGAAAATTGGCTCTTGACCTTAACTGTAAAGCAAGACTTTATACTGCATTTGAATTCAACTGTGAGTCTTAATTAATTCTGGTAAAAAGAGAACTTTTTTTTTATCTTAAATGAAAAAAGAAATATTGAAGATTTCTATTTGTAAGTAATACATTTAAGAATTCGGGTGAGGTTTTTTAGTAAAGTTTGCATGAAACATTTACATCATGTATAGAGAAATCCATTGCTAAAAATAGATCAGAAAAGTCAGATATCTGTGATAATTTTAGGGCAACTTTTGTCCTATCATTTATTCTATCCTTCATTTTTAGCTCAACTATACGAAGTATATGGAGAGCTGTCCTACTCGCCCCGGCGTCCAGATTTTAGATTAAAGTTTTGGTGCAGTAAAATATTTTTCACTATAACTTTGTCATTTCTTAAGGTATCAACTTCAAACTTCAAATATATGTTCCTTATCATCAACCACATCATATGTGACAAGGTTCATAACTCTAGCACCAATATTTTCAGATTTATCTCCCCTTGAACTTAGAATTTTCCTTAAAAAATACTATTTTTTACTGTTACTTCTTTATTTCTTAAGGGATCAACCTCATACTTCAAATATATGTACCTTATCATCATCCCCATCTTATGTGACAAGGTTCATAACTCTAGCACCAATATTTTCAGATTTATCTCCCCTTGAACTTAGAATTTTCCTTAAAAAATACTATTTTTTACTGTTACTTCTTTATTTCTTAAGGGATCAACCTCATACTTCAAATATATGTACCTTATCATCATCCCCATCTTATGTGACAAGGTTCATAACTCTAGCACCAAGAACTTAGAATTTTCCTCAAAAAGTACTATTTCTTACTGTTTCTTCTTTATTTCTTAAGGGATCAACCTCATACTTCAAATATATTTACATTATCATCATCCCCATCTTATGTGACAAGGTTCATAACTCTAGCACCAATATTTACAGATTTATCTCCCTTTGAACTTAAAATTTTCCATAAAAAATATTTTTTTTACTGTTACTTATTTATTTCTAAAGGGATCAACTTCATACTTCTAATATATTTACGTTATCATCATCCACATCTTATGTGACAAGGTTCATAACTCCAGCACCAATATTGAAAGAATTATCTCCCCATAAACTTAGATTTTTTTACTAGAAAAATGTTATTTTTTATTATAACTTTTTTTATTTTTAAAGGTATCTACCTCAAACTTCAAATACTTATTCCTTATCATCAATTACATTTAATGTGACACTGTTCATAACTCTTGAAGCAATATTTACACATTTATCTCTCTTTGAACTTAGGATTTTCTTTAAGAAATATAAAAACTTCTTTACTTTTTAAGGTATCTACTTCAAACTTCAAATATATATTTCTTATCATTACACAAATGTTGTTTGACAAGGTCCATAACTCTAGCATGACTATTTCTAGAATTATTCCCCTTGATCTTGGAATTTATGTTAACAAATATTATTTTTTTACTATAACTTAATACATAATTATACATAATTGATTTTTCTTTCATAGTTTTGTCCTCCTTACTGCGTCCAGTATTTTATTAGTCGAGCTTCGCTGTCTCCTGTGACAGCTCTTGTTAATTGTTTTTATCACTTCATAATATATGATTATTATATAACACTTTTTTCATGCAAGTTTACCCATTCAAAAGAGCTTCATTGAAAAGTTAAAAAATTCATGCAATTATTTTCTTGTTTTGTTACATATTATGTGAAATACGTCATTATTATGTTTATTTATTTATGTTTATTTTTGTAGGTGCTATGTGCTTTATAATTTGTATGTTATTGATCAATTGTTACAATTATACAATTTAGAGTTTATATTATTTACAGTTATTTCCAAAATTACAAAAATTGCAACAAATGTAAATTAACATCTTCTCCTTAGTTTTAAGCATAACTATGACTTGAAATTAAAGTGGTATAGAAGCCTCCATGGCAGAGTGACTTATGTCTGAACCACTTGCTCCTTAACAGTGTGGGTTCGAGTTCCAACAGGGTCTTTGGAATCTTTCATGTGAGGAAGCTATCCAGCAAGCATATGGAATGTTAGTGGCTCTTCTCAGGTGCCAGTTCATGCCTGAAATAATGCATGCAAGGGTACCCTAGGTCTTTCTCAACCAGTAAAGCTGAAAAGTTGCCATATGTCCTATACTGTGTTGGCATGACATAAAACCCAACTAAAAAATCTGGGGGCTTTAGATTTAAATCTGTGAGTTGCCATATGACCATGACCAAATTTCAACCTTCAAAAAATAAATCCAAACAACTAAATATACCAAATGGGAATTTCTGTGGTGCAACTACTGTAAGGAATTTTAAGTGTGAATAAAAATTGCAATGGCATTATCAGAGTAAGACCATTCAAGCATTGATATTAATTAATTACCTCCCCTCCTCCATACTAATTTGCTTGAGGTTTAAAGAACAAAAGTTATATCAAACAATGATTAATGCTTATAACGAAGTTTTCCTTCTTTTTCCTTTTTTCGGAAACAGTTATTGAGTTTAAACAAATATTGAAAAGATAAAGTTGTATGATTTATTCATGGTGAGGCCTTTTTGAACAATATTTAAGAAATTGCTTCCTTTACATAGATATGTTATTATTTTTTTTTAAGAATACAGGGTCTGTAGACATGACATGCATAAAGAAAATATTCAGAACTTACACATGTATGTATCTTGTTATTGTACAAGTAGGGCTATTTCAGTATTTTCAAAATGTCAGACATTTTATGTTATATATATTATTTTATATATAGAGAGAACATTGAATGAGTGCTGGTTCAATACTTAATTTGAGCCGCGTTACAACAAAACCAACCTAGTGCGTTTGCGACCAGCATGGATCCAGAACAGTCTGCGCATCGGCGCAGTCTGATCAGGATCCATGCTGTTCGCTATCAGTTTCTCTACTTGTTATAGGGTTTGTAAGTGACAACGGATGCGCAGGCTGGTCTGGATCCATGCTGGTCGCAAACCCATTATGTTGGTTTTGTTGTGACACGGCTCATTTATTGAATAAGTTGAATAAAATTATATGATGCGAGTCTCTGGCAAGCAAAGTATTATTTTTTCAACAACTTAAAAGTTCAATAAATTCAGTAATGATCCTACATAAATACAATATTCTATTTATCACATAGCCAAAATAAACACTGTTCTACAAAAGAAACATTTTTCATCTACGCACCTATATTGTAATTTATTGTAACACTAACATTTAAGGCATCTTTACAATATGTTTGTATAATGCAAAGGACGTCACATCAAAACATATGAACGGTCATGCAATACCATTTTTAAGTAGTTGCAAAATCAGCATGGGTATGTGATAAATATGTTTATCCTTACTAATAGAAATTGGCAGGTATTTCTTTGATGTATATATTCATACCGTAAAAGTGTCCCCTCTTTTTATTTTGGCACCATTTATTTGGGCAAAATAACGGTACCAAAAGACAAAGGGATCTGCCTTTATATACATGTATATAATGGTTGCTATGGATATAAACTCTTTTTCATGTGAAACAAATAAGTATGCTTTAATCAAATGATAAAAAAATTGAATAAAATATACATGTTACGGAACAATTATTCTCATAACATCAAATAAGTCAGCCGTCAGCCTGGAGGGAGTTTTATATAAGATTTAAGCTTTCTACGCAATTATTGATGTAATTTATATAATATAATTGAAATTTTGTTTGAAAATTTGGAAGAAGATAAATAAATATTGTTTAAACCAAATAAGTTAGCATTATACATGCTATACCTGAAGTGGCAGTTTTAATTAACACTTCACCAGCTGATAGAAATCTTAAGTTAGTATGCCAACAGTATAGAAACTGGTGCGTCTGCTCAGAAGTGCATGCTTAGCGGTGGCAAAGGCTTATACCTTTTAGTTGTTTCAACATTCTCATGATTTGATTATTGTTTTACTATTTGCCTGTATTCAAGTGTAAAATTATTTGTTATGTAGCAATCTGTTTGGTTTTAGAAACTGAAAATATGTATGTAACATCACATGTGTCCATGCATATACTAAACCTACGTGTACATTATACCCCTTTCTTACCATTCCCTATTAATTTTGTGTGTTAAACTAGTCTTTGAAATTTGGATTAGTGCATTACAGATTACTTTCGGGGATTTTTTAGGGTGAAAAATCAAATGTAGTTTAGATAAAAGAAGGCAGAACTTGGTCAGGCTGAACTGAGCTGATTCTGTCCACTATCCTAGTGGGAAAAGATATGCCCCTGTTGCCTCTTGATGCACTGTTGAAACTGTTTGACTTAATTATACAGATATATTTATGTACACAAAATTTTTCTTAAGTTTATTTTGGATTTTATAATGTTAAGTGCCTTTCCTAATTTGAAATATTGTTTTTAATTGTAAAGTATGTTTTTTTCCTCTCAAACTTAATGGATTGAATATCATTAAAGACTTAAGAAAGCTCTGATGATGGATACTTATTACTTGTAAATGAAAATAGTGGGTGAGGTATAGTGATTAACATGGAATATATCTCATTGATAAAACACATGATATAGTGATTGATATGGAATATATCTCATTGATAAAACACCTGTATTTCAATAAAAGCCAGGGTTAGTTACTCGCGTTTCTCCTGAAATTTTACTGTGAAGAAGACATTTTTTTAAAAATGTTTAATAAGTCTTAATAACTAATAGAATTGAAAAAATAGTTGTTCCTTAAGTATTATGTGTTTTTAATATTAATAATAAATTGCAGTGCCATTTTTTTTTTGTTCACAAATGTTCAATATTTTTATTTTTTAGATAGAGGTAGAATTTATATTAGTGTATTTTCTCATACATAACTATATAGTTATTTGTTAGTTAATCTGTCTTATATAAAAACCAAAATATAATTAGCCATTTGATTACAAGTTGTAAATTTTATTTATTGTATATCAGTATATCATAGATTAAGCAACGTAATTATTTGAAAAATATATCTTTATTACCAAAATGATACAGCTCAAAACATGGAAAAAAATTCTAAATATAGGTCAAAGTTTATTAATATGCAT